GAACTGTACGTTATAGGTCATCTTGTTCTACCGACGGGGAGAAGGGCGACTGGAAGGACCAGTTCCGGCTTATGCGCTCTCGTCAAGCATAATCAAACGTCGGGGAGGACAGGACAGGACAGTGGAGACCGGCTTCAGTTGGCCATAAAAATCGACGAGTTATTAGTTGAGGCTGAGCTCAAACACACTAGCATATTGAAAGAAACAGAGGGGGGGTGGGGGTCACGGTCGTGGTCTGGCCCGACAGTTTGACAGCCGTAAGTGGCTACACCAGCCTCCCACGCCTTCTTCGGCTCCACGTGTCGCTATATGACCGAGTCCAAAGTGCAACGGGGCGAGCCTGCCCCGTAACCTGATCCATTAACATCCTTACCAAGATGGTAAAGACTCCCTCTTTTGCTCATTTTTTAATACAGTCTTCTCAAGTTAAACCGGCAAACATATTTTCTCGGTTATTCACCGTCAGACTGGACAAAGGTTGCTGTTAAATATTTCAGGAGACCGTCACCCGAAGGTCTTCATAACTGGAATCGGAATGCTCAAAATTCTGTAGAACATCAACTGTGACTTTGTGGTCGAAAATAGAGGTGTTATTCTAATCCTCATCATTTTGTTTGGAACAATTCTTTTTATTACTGATATGATTCCTCAAAACACAGGCAGGTTGCCATGAAACCTACTGACCAAAATCCAGATGAACACTTCGGGACACGCTAAAATGTTACTTGTCTTGTTTATTTGCACGACGCATTGCAGAAGACATCTTTTTCTCATGCAGACTATGCCGCTGGGTTAGTTTATCAAAGGAAACGTTCGCAAATTTGAGCAGAGATTAACACTACTGTAGATTCAGGGGCCACAGTAGCTTATGTAGGCCCAATCATTAATCCCTACTCCCTGCATGTTCTCCTACGAAAACGGTGGTTATAGGGTTCTATGGGTGGGGAACGAGGACATGCAGTGGAATGTACTTTAATAAATGCTAAATGCATTTTTATTTTA